CCACTTCCGGCTTTTTTCTTTTTGCTTATGTGGTGCTGAGGAATCAATCCCAGGGCCTCATGCATGCAAGGCAAGCGCTCTACCACTGAGCCACTTTCCCATCCCCTATGTTCTACTTCTTGAGCCACAGTTCCAGCCCTTTCCGTTCTTTTTCTTCTTCTTCTTTTCTTTTGGTCAGTCATGGGGCTTGAACTCTGGGCCTGGGCACTGTCCCTCAGCTCTTCAGCTCAAGGGGAGTGCTCTACCACTTGAGTCACAATGCCACTTCTGGTTTTCTGGTGGTCTATTGGAGGTAAGAGTTTCACAGACTTTCCTGCCTGGGCTGGCATTGAACCATGATCCTCAGATCTCAGCTGCCTAAGTAGCTAGGATTACAAGTGTGAGCCACCAGCACCCAGCTCTGTTCTGTTTTTTGTTTGTTTTGTGTGTTTTTGTGGGGGGGGTTGTTTGTTTTGTTTTGTTTTTGTCAAGTTGTGGGGCTTGAACTCTGGGCCTGGGCCCTATTCTTGAGCTAAAGAGCTCAAGGTAAGTGGTAGAGACCACTTGAGCCACAATGCTACTTCGGGCTTTCTGGTGGTTTATTGGAGATAAGAGTCTCACAGTCCTTCCTGCCCGGGCTGGCTATGAATCTCGATCCTCAGATCTCAGCTTCCTATGTAGCTAGAATTACAGGCATGAACCACCTGTGCCTGGCTCTATTCTGGTTATTTTTTAAGTGTGTTCCCTTTTGCCTGGGCTAGTGTGGACAATGATCTTCCTATTTATACTTCCTACAGTAGCTGAGTCTGCATTATTTTGGCATCTTTCTGAAGGTATCATTGTCTCATCTTTTGACTTGTAGTTAGAATTGGAATCCTTGCTTTGCCATCAAGTTAACTGCATTTAAATTTCTTTTAGCTAAAACTGAATGCCATCTATCTCTCCTAATTTCTGAGCAATATTATTTAAATCTAATGAAGTGTTTTGCATTTACCCTATAGGTAAAACACCTTCTGAGTCTCTAGTCCCTAAGCGGGTTGGTCTTGCTCACATAGCCCAAGTCATTTCCGAAGTGGATGGGAACAGGATGACTTTGAGCCGAGCAGGAACTCAAGAGTCCCTGCCTCTTCAGCAGAAGATTTTGGTTTGCTCTTTGCTGCTCTTGACCAGGCAGCTGAAAATCAAAGAGGTCACTTTGGGGAAGGTAAGCAGATGGAGCTGAGGTAGAGATGAGAATCTGCTTGGAATGCAGATATGTTTTTGAAAGACCTATCATGCTCTGGCTGATAGAAATTAAAAATGGATTTTGGGAGGGGAGGGGCTGCACTGAGGCCTCATGCTTGCTAGGCAGGCACTCTATAAAAATAGATTTTAGATTACAGGCTCATGCCTGTAATCCTAGCTACTAAGGAGGCTGAGATCTGAGGATCAGGTTCAAAGCCATCCTGGGCAAGGATGTCCGTGAGACTCTTTATCTCCAATAAACAACCAGAAAACCAGAAGGGGCACTGTGGCTCAAGTGGTAGAGTGCTTACTTGAGCTGAAGAGCTGAGGGACAGTGCCCAGGCCCAGAGTTCAAGCCTTAGGACCAACCAAAAAAAGAAAAGAAAAGATTATAGTCAGGTTCTGGTGGCTAATACCTATAATCCTAGCTATTCAGGAGATTGAGATCTAAGGATCACAGTTTAAAGCCAGCCTGGGCAGGAAAGTCCAGGAGATTTTTGTGGAGTGACTCAAGTGGTTGAGCACTAGCTTTTGTTGTTGTTTTGTTTTTGTTTTGTCAGTTATGGGACTTGAACTCATGGCCTTCGAGCCTCTTGAGTAGCTATGATTACAGGCATGAGCCACCAGCACCTGGCAGGCACTAGTCTTGAGTAAAGAAGCTCGGGGGACAGTGCCCAAATCCTGTGATCCACCTATCTTAGCCTTCTTGCATTATAGTGTAAGTTTGGGGAAATGTGGAATTTCTGTTCAAGAATTTTATTTAATTAATTTATTTACTTATCTATTGATTTATTTTTCGGTCAGATGTGGGTCTTGAACTCTGGGACTTTGGGCACTGTCCCTGAACTCTTCAGCTCAAGGAGGGTGCTCTACCACTTGACCCACATACCACTTCTGGTTTTCTGGTGGTTGACTGGAGATAAGAATCTCAGGGCCTTTCCTGACTGGGCTGTCTTTGAACTGCAGTCCTCAGATCTCAGCCTCCTGAGTAGCTAGGATTCCAGGCGTGAGCCACCAACACCTGGCTTCAAGAATTTTATTGAAAAGAGGGAAAGATTAGATGTGTTGATAGCTTTTTTCTCCCCTTGCATTAAGACTAACATTTTATGTGTGCGGTTCTGGGGTTTGAACTCAAGTCTCTTATTGGGCTATCTACTAATTGAATCAGGCTTCTAGTTCTGCTTTTTTTGAACTTTTCTGATTTCGTGTGGCCTCTAATCACAATCTTCCCAATCTAAGCTTCTGTAATAACTGTTACAAGTAGGATTCAGTTAAATGATCTAACTTTTAAGCAATAATTTCTTCCTCTTCCTTCTAGCTATATGAAGCCTATAGTACTGTCTGTCGGAAACAGCAGTTGGGAGCTGTGGACCAGTCAGAGTGTTTGTCACTTTCAGGACTCTTGGAATCCAGAGGCATTGTAGGATTAAAGAAAAACAAAGAAACTCGCTTCACAAAGGTACAACTATTTCTGTGTGTGCACTTGTGTACGTGCACACATGTGTACACATGTACCAGTACTAGGGCTCAAACTTGGGTCTCTGTCCCTTAGCTTTTTCACTTAAGGCTAGAGCTCTACCACTTGAGCCCACAGCTCTACTTTTTGCTTTTTGTTGGTTCATAGGAGTCTCACTGACTTTCCTGCCTGGGCTGGTTTCGGAACTGTGATCCTCAGATCTCAGCCTCTTGAGGAGCTAGAAGTACAGGTGTGAACCACCAATGTCTGACATTAACTGCTCCTTTGTGACATGCCTATCTTTAGTTGTCCTGTTTTAGAAAGCTTGTCTTTTGATAAAGATGAAAATTTAGCTGGCACCAGTGACTCACACCTATAATCTTAGCTATTCTGAAGGCTGAGATCTGCGGATTGCAGTTCAAAGCCAGCCCAGGCAGGAAAGTCCATGAGAACTGTTATCTCCAGGTAAACACTTGAAAACTAGAAGTGGTGCTATGACTCAAGTGGTAGAGTTCTAGCCTTGAGAAAAAGACGCTCAGGGACAGCATCCAAGCCCTGAGTTCAAACCCTAGGACCAACAAACACACACACACACCAAAGAAAAAGATGAAAATTTCCCTCAAAACAATTTTTCTGTTAGATACAACTTAAGGTGTGGGGAGATTGGGCATGTGATAATGAATAGATTTTCTTTTTAAGGCCATTGAAAAAAAGCAGTGTTTAATCTGCTGCCTCTTCATGCGAAAAGTTTAATATGGTAGATATTTAGTGTAAGTTCTGTGCCATGAAAAATCCTTTTCTCTTTCCAGGTGTCTTTGAAGATTGAAGAAAATGAAATAGAGCATGCTCTGAAAGACAAAGCTTTAATTGGAAATATTTTAGCTACTGGATTATCTTAAATTTTTTCCTTACATCCCACCCGAAACCATTCAGCTGGCAATTTTGTAAGCTATGGAGTCTTCAGTTTAGTACTTTATATGTTCAAGCTTCCTGAAAACAAATAGGACTTTTTTTTAACTTGAAACAAATGAATTTTAATCTATAAGCTCATGAAGATTATACTGAATAATATCTTTGGGATTTTTTTTAACCTATAGAAATGACTTGAGTTATTTTTACGTTATATTTACAGGCTGGGAATGTGGCTTAGTGGCAGAGTGCTTGTCTACCATGCATGAAGCCCTAGGTTCCCTCAGTACCACATAAACAGAAAAAGCCAGAAGTGGTGCTGTGGCTCAAAGTGGTAAAGCGCTAGCCTTGAGTGAAAACTCAGGGACAGTGACCAGACCCTGAGTTCAAGCCCCATGACCGGAAAAAAAAAAAAAATTACTGCCCCTTAACCAACATGTTTGTAAGTACGCAGATTTATGTTGTATATGTGTATATAATTTATCTTGAAGTTTTTTCAAACAGTATGTTTTGTGAAGAAGAACTTTGTTAGGTTAAGAAGAATGAAAGAGAATGATCGGAAAAATAAGCAAGACTATCCACAAGGATATTCAAAAGACAAAGGACACTTTGACCCAAGAATGTATTTCACTTTGGAGTTTTACTGGGTTTATGTTGCAGATGCCCCGACACTGTGACCTTTGAAAGATTCATTGAGTTTCCCTGGGACTCCCTGAAACATTGAAGGTGATAAGGAGAATGTAACTCTGCAGATTGTGAATGTATTTATTTTTCAAGTTGTGTTCTTTGGTGTCTTTTTTTTTTTTTTAAAGCAATCATATTTTAAGAGAGATCAGGCTTTCGGAAGACTGTGTGAAAATTCTTTCCCAAACCGTTCCTCCCACAGTCTGAGCTGCCTTCAGCTACAGCTGTTCTTTCAAGATGCCTCTGTTCAGGGTTGGATTTGCATCTGAACACATATTTTTCCACTCTTACTAGATAAATTAAGCCATATGGCTACTCAAGACTCCTGGGTTTGGTTTTCCAGTGGCATGAAGTGGCAATTTGTGACAGAAACAGCAGAGGGCACCATTATAACACTGCTTTGAAGGTGTGGGCTTGGGGCGTGGTAATTTTGAGGGAAGGAGCAGAAAGGTACTTAAGTTTGACTTTGGGAAAATGCTGTATTTTTATTAAGCAAATGCTTAAGCTACAAGTCACGTATTAATATGAATGGTTTGAGAGCCAGTGATGGACTCTCTGCTTCTCCTTTAGCTCTTCTGCTGCCTCCTGGCCTTTCTCTGATGCAGCCTGGAGTTTGGGAACTTGATATGCATACAAGCGATCTGTTGGCCACTGTTTCATTCATTCTGTGCACTGTCTCCCTGTAAAGTGATCTGAGCTACAGCAGGTGGTATGGGATGGGAGAAGGGCAAACAGCCCTCTGAAATGAACACTGCCCATCCATGGATGTGGTAGACAAGAGTCTGTAAGCATTAGTCTGAAGGTCCTTTTCCCTCTCCTCACATTCCTTTATTATTCTTTCCTTCTGAGGGCAGTTTGCAAATTGGGGTACACAGACCTACAACAGGAAGGTTGGAAAGTATCTGGAGCTGTAAGGGTTAACCAATGTAATTGCAAAGATTGTCCGAAGGCTGATAGAAAGCAGAGACTGAATGGGATTGAGAACAGATGCGAGGCTTGATTTAAATTACATTTTATTGGATGCTGCAGCCTTAAGAGACGTGACTGCTTTACAGTTTGTTTCCACACTGTGGGCAGCTGCTGTCTGTTCTGTGTCCACAGTAGGATCCTGCCCAAAAAGGAGCTGCCTCCCCACCTCGCGGTGTTTGAGGCTTGGCGCCTTCCTCTTCACTGTAGGGCTTGAGTCAGTAACATGGCTTGACTCGCACTGGGGCTGCTGTGTATCCTCTCTGGCTTCCAGCCAAGATCACATTGGCAGACTCAAAGGGGCCCAATTTCTTTCCCTTCTACCTCCTTTCTCTCTCCTTCCCCTGGTATTTGGAAATAGGACTTTCTGTGTACTGGTTTGTTCGTTCCTTTCCTTCAGCTCTCTCTCCCACCCCCCCTCCACACACACCCTCGATTTCTAGGTCATTGCTGCTCTTAAGACTTGTAGCAATCGGAACAGGGCTGGTTCTATCAATGATGCGTGAAGCAGACTTAGAGTCCCCGCCTGGCTTCCGCTGCCCTTGTGGGAGCAAAAGCTGATATATGTTTGTCAGTAAAGTCTTAAGTGTAATTCAGACAGCTGGAGAAGAAAGGAGGAAGAGAGTCCTTTCCTGGCTGTTCTTACTGCACTGGAGCTGAGAGCTATGGGAAGCTGGTGGGAGTTTTAGTAGGATGGGATGGGCCTGTGGTTACTAGTTTTTGCCAGGATCATAGGCCGCTTCACACAGAGTAGTGACAGAGATACTGACCTACATTCTTCCTTTTGAAGGTGGTGGGGTATGTGTCTATATCCTGGTTTATCTTTGAAAAAAAAAAAGGCAGGGGAGGGGTGGGGGAGGAGGGTATTCATAAAATGTCGGGTATTGCCGTGGAAAGAACATAAACCCAATAAAATTTGTGAGCTTCAACCCAGAGCGGGTTGACAGAAATTTCTGGCTTGAAGAAGACTTACCTGTGGCTAGCTAACTGCAAGAGTGTGTATGATCCAGACTAGCCAGAGATCAGAAAAATAAGTTCCCTTTTAAGATGTACAATAAGAACCAAGAAGTAGCCAGGCACTGGTTTTTCATGCCTGTAATCCTAGCTACTCAGGTGGATGAGATTCAAAGCCAGCCCGGGCAGGAAAGTCAGTGAGAGTCTTATCTCCAATAAACCACCAGAAAATTGGAAGTGGAACTGGCTCAAAGAGGTACAGCATTAACCTTAGAGCAAAAGAGCTTAGGGACACCCCAGGCCCTGAGTTAAAGCTGTGTCACTGACCAAAAAACGAAAAAAAAAAACCAAGGGGCTGGGACTGTGGCTCAGTAGTAGAGTGCTTGCCTAGCATGCATCAAGCCCTGGGCTTGATGCATTCCTCAGTACCATATGAACAGAAAAAGCTAAAAGTGACACTGGGGCCAAAGTGGTAGAGTGCTAGCCTTGAGCAAAAGAAGCTCAGGGACAGTGCCCAGGCCCTGAGTTCAAGCCTCAGGACTGGCAAAACAACAAAACCCAAGAAGTGGTGATATGATATGGCTTATGTTTTGTTTTTGTTGGTCCTAGGGCCTGGGTGCTGTCCCTGAGCTTTTTTGCTCAAGGCTAGTGGTCTACCACTTGAGCCACAGCTCCACTTCTGGCTTCTGGGATATATATATGTGAATAATTGCATCAGTTCCAACTACTCAGAACTGAGATCTGAGTATATATATGTGTGTGTGTGTATATATATATATATATATATATAGTGAACACAGGCACTGGTGGCTCATGTTTATAATCCTAGGTACTTCAGAGATTTATCTCCTAATTAACCAGCAAAAAGTTGGAAGTAGAGGTGTGCCTCAAGGGGTAAAGCATAAGGTCCTGAGTTCAAGCTGTAGTACTGGCACATACTTACATCCGAGTGTATATATAGAGACAGGGAGAGAGGAGCATTATCTTGACTACTGTGGGAGAAGAAAAAGGCATAATTGAGGGGGTTTGGGGTATTCCCCCCCATACTGGACATTGAATCAGGGTGTCACACGTATTAGGCAAACACTACTGAGCAATATCGCCAGCCTCTATTTGCATTTGTATCCTAAATATCTGTTTAGTGAACTGATAAGTGAACCAGGCAAGGTGCTGCCTTTGCTTTCTTGAGAACTGTTTTGAGATGGAGGTAAAGCAGTGGTACTTTTGCACTGAGGGAGAGCAGGCTTCTGCAAAGGAGGGCACTTCATCCCACTGTCTGGCATAGCTGGGAAGCATTTATTGGCCTCTCAGATGCATAGAGATCACTCCCTCTGATGTCAGATGTTGCTTGAGGCAGCCTCCATGTGGCTTCAAGGAAGCTTCCACTGGGGAGTGAGATCTACAGGCTAGGAATTTGGGAGGCCTGGCTGGGTGTTACCTAGTGTTCCCTAGAGATTGGCCAGAAACCGCCTGAAGGTAACAGAATTTGGGAAGGATCTCACCTTTGATATCTTAACTTTTTCACTTTTGGAGAAAGTTGTGGTCTCCCATGCTGAAAAGGAAGTATGTACTCAGACAGCCTCTGTAGCTGGGCAAAGGTATGCCTTCTGGTCTCCCCTTGATTCCAGGCCCAAGGCACTAGCAGTAGAAGCTAATTGAGTGCAAGAGGCAGGGTAAAGACTGAAGACTGGCAAAAGGAGAGAGCCAGCTCTGGGGTTTTTTTTGTTTTGTTTTGTTTTTTGTTGTTTTTTTTTTTTAAAGCTCTAATTGAGTTCTGAATCAGCCTCACTCACTTTGATCCCTCCTCTGTTTCCCACACTGCCTGGAAGAGCTAGATCAGCATTTTATAACAAGGGTGCGCCTCGCTCCCCACACCCGCCCCCCTCTCCTGCTCTCTGCTGCCGCCATCCACTGCTTGTCTCCTTCAGTTAAGATAATGAAGATGCTGAGAGATAAAATGTGTATTTAATAAGGGTGGGGGTAGGGAGGCGGAAAGGGGCAGCCAGGGCCTTCCCTAGTTTGGGGCCTGGCCAAGACTCTAGCTGAAAGCAAAGCTAGAGTAAGACTTGGCCCCAGGGTGTGGGGGTTTCTGGGCCTCCATCCAGCTGACTTCACTGCCTGCTGTTTGCCCTAAATTCCCCACCTCCACTCTCACCCCCACACTCCTTTCTCCCCTTTTCCTTGTTCCCAATGGGGAAAAGGAAGCTGGCTTGACTTTTCAGGTGGTAACTTGGTCTTTGGTGTGGTGTCCCCCACCCCCCATCCCTCAGTCCAGTGTCAGCTGCAAGGTCAGGCTAGGGCAGCCCCCTATAGCCTAGGCCTGTAGAAGCTGTGGGTTCACAGTGGGGGGTGAAAAGCTGCAGTTAATGAAGACCAGCTGCTTGTCTGGGTTCTGCCTACAGCTAGCTGGAAGCCAGCTTTTAGTGGTGGTTAGAGGTGGGGGAGGAGGGTGACCTCCATCCTGGGCACAAGGATATCCTGTGGCCACTGAGCCATCCTTTGCTCAAAAGAGAGCAATCTTATTTCCCCCTTCCCCTAACTGCTCTTGATGAGCTTTATAACTGTAGTGGTGGCCCAGCTGAGATCTGAGGATCTCCAAGCCCTTTTGTAAACACTCATTAGCTGCCTGGGAAGCACCCAGAGCCCTGTTTAACAGCTGGGAGAGAACTGA